TCTTGAAAGCATTTTATGAAAGAACCTGAAAACAAGTAGCTAAGGACATTGTACATTTGCCAGTGATGAACACCAGTGCCATTTCTTTCCCTGTTTCTCTGCACATGTACTCTTACTATATGTCTTCTGTCCTTTTTGGCAAACTAACTCTCAGGAGTTGTTTTCGTCTTGCTTCTTTTTTCCTGCAGATTAATACCTTCAATCATTGCAGCAAACATCAAAATCCATAGGAAATCCACAGAAAATCATCTAGTTAGGAGAAATTCACTGCGAGTGGAATACTTGATAGCACCTGACAGATCTGATGCAAAAACCAACATAATTTCACAATCACACCCCGCCCTTGGGCCATGAGGAAGGTTCTTACATGAGATCAAGTCATGCAAGCAAATAACCCACAAGTTTACATCTGATTAGAGCAAATATATGGGAGGTGTGAACAGGGTTGGCGCAGTGCTAGACCATATGATGAACACCAAGGATCATGGCATCGTATAAAACTGGGCATCTATATGGTACAGCTGGCTTTGCATAATATTCTCCTAATTTATAAGGCTGAAGCATCTGCTCCATTGTGTTGCTCCATCAGCTTTTCCAGAAGTCTGTTATTGAATGCATAGTAGTCAAATATTGCAGCTGTGTGTGCCAGTGGAACAGGAATTTGATATCATTTACAGTGGGAGATTACCTGCTACTCTATTCCACAGATAAGGTAATGTTCAGCATGGCGAGGTAGAAAGGGTTGGCCTTGTGGGATGGGTTCCACTTCACAGAAAGATCAATAATGGCATACTCTAAAAGATGTAATATTTATTTCTTGTTGGCAGGATCTCCATCTGTGACAGGAGGACGTGGCCAGATGAGGCCATTGCGACAGGCTGCGTGTGTGACTGTGGACATCCCCAGTGATGCAGCAGGCAAGATCTTAGAGAACAAATTATGCAAGTCCTGATTTTGTTCTTCTGCTTCATCTTTCCATTTATGGAAATGATGTAGCTCTAGCAACCAGTATTTTATAGAATCATGTATCATAGAATGACCTGGGTTGAAAAGGGCCATGATGATCATCTAGTTTCAACCCAGGCTTTAGCTCTTTGCTGGGAGGTGTCTGCTCTGCAAGTGGAAAAAAAAACTGGGGGGAGGGTGTTTTCAGCTGGGCCCTGCAAACTGCTTGCCAGAAGTACAGGCTAGCTGGAAATGTCAGCAACTGTAATCTCATGAAGGCCATGGATCCTGCCAGGCACCCTTCACAATCAAAGGCTCTGAAAGGCTGGCTTGTGAGCCTACCTCTCTCCAAATGCTGAAAAGGTGCTAGAGGGGATGGCTTGTAGGGGAATTGCATGGACACTACTCTCCTCCACCCTATTCAGGCTTCATTGCAGAAGGCCCTCCATGGTTTGCAGCAGAGAAGAGGCCAGGAGAGTTCCATCATGTGCAGTATATGGACAGTCCCATTCTGGGGATCAAGTCAACAACTTGAAGGCATCCTGCCTTGTGTGCACATGTGCTGAAAACCCCACATATCAGCTCTGAGTGGTGGACTCACACCAGAGATGACCTTGTACCCATGAGAAGGAAGGGGGAAGAAGGCCAGAATTCACTTTTCCAATTATTTCCAAACTGCCTTGCCTTCTGTAAAGCCCTGCTGTAGTTCGGAACCTAGGAGAAAGTTATTTCTCCTTTCTGCCTTCACAGAGATATTAACAGCAGTACAGCATATGGGCTAAGGTATCCAAAATTTTGTTTTTAAAAGCAACAGCATTACCAGCACTATCTAGGTGCTGTGGGTGCAGATCATGCAGCTGGTACCTGCTACAGTGAAGTACTCGTCCCTGCATGAACCCTCTGTTCTGCAAACCCAGTGGAGCTTGTTGTGCTGCCTGTGGAGAAAAATATGGCACTAACCATTTTACCAGAACCTTCCCTAGTAAAATTACATTGCAGAGCCATGCCAAAAATAAATTCACATTCCAAATAGAAAGAGAAAATTGACTTTTGCAGAACATCATGGGGTTGTTAATAATAAATTAAGTTGCTTTCAGAATGGAAGCAATTCCTGCAACTCTTGCACCACTTTCTGTAAGGCTGTGTTTTTCTAAGGAAGTGAAATCTTGTTAGCAAATATGACAGCACAAGACTTCTTCAGATTTCTAATTCTTTTTCCCAGTGTACAGTTCTGTATAATTTTATCAAGTTAAAAAGAAAAATAATTTGGTTTCCAACTTCTGTGAGTCCATAGGAGTTGGGAGTTGAACTAGATGATTTTTAAAGGTCCTTTCCAACTCTGAGGATTCTATGGTTCTATAGCATGGCACCTACTACATTCCCAGACAGGTCCAAACTCTTCAGGCACCTTCTTCTTTATAAATTCTGCTGAAGATTTAGAGTTCTAAACATTTTTATGCTCTGAATCTGACATGCGCATAGTATCTAGAGACTGTTCCCTGAGCAGGGTTAGTAGATGTGACCATAATAAAAGTTTATGTTAGTTTAACAAGGGTAAAATGAGCTGCACTAAGGCAAGAAGTGAATTTGTGAAAGAACTTGAACTACTGCAAATATTATTTTCAGGTTGTGATAAGTCACAAGTGGATAAAGTCACCAGTGCTGCAATACACAACGTGCTGTTTCCTATCACTTTGTCTGAGCAGTTTTATGGAGGTTCTGCCCAGTGCAAGGGGTAGAGCAGGGCAGCATCTTGCAGGTTGCATGCAGTTCTTGCAGCTTATCACCAGCTGCTGAGATCTGGAATTTGTCATGGGGCTAGGTATTGTATGGAGGCTTAAGTAGTCTCATTTCCCAAATAAATGTACCTGAATTAAGAAACTGTGCAATTGGGGCACAGTAAAACCACTGGATGAAGTTGGAGGATGCTGTCTCCCACAGAATTCTCCTGCAGAAGCTGGCAGTCTGTGGCTTGGACAGACGCTCTTGGCTGGGTAAGGAACTGGCTGGAGGGCCGGGCCCAGAGAGTGGTGGTGAATGGAGTTAAATCCAGCTGGCGACCGGTTACGAGTGGAGTTCCCCAGGGGTCGGTGCTGGGGCCTGTCCTGTTTAATATCTTTATTGATGACCTGGGTGAGGGGATTGAGTGCACGCTCAGTAAGTTTGCAGATGACAGCAAGCTGGCTGGAAGTGTTGATCTGCCTAAGGGTAGTGAGGACCTACAGAGGGATCTGGACAGGCTGGATAGCAGGGCTGAAGCCAGTGGAATGAGATTCAGCAAGACCAAATGCTGGGTCCTGCACTTTGGCCACAACAACCCCATGCAGTGTTATAGGCTTGGGGATGAGTCGCTGGGTAACTGTGAAGAGGAAATGGACCTGGGAGTGTTGATTGATGCTAGACTGAACATGAGCCAGCAGTGTGCCCAGGTGGCAAAGAAGGCCAACGGCATCCTGGCTTGTATCAGAAATAGTGTGACCAGCAGGAACAGGGAAGTGATTGTCCCCCTGTACTCAGCACTGGTGAGGCCGCACCTCGAGTACTGTGTTCAGTTTTGGGCCCCTCGCTGTAAGAAAGACATCAACACCCTGGAGCGTGTTCAAAGAAGGGCAACAAAGCTGGTGAGCGGTCTGGAGCACAGGCCTTATGAGGAGCGGCTGAGGGAGCTGGGATTGTTTGGTCTGGAGAAGAGGAGGTTCAGGGAAGACCTTACTGTTCTCTATAACTACCTGAAGGAAGGTTGTAGTGCACTGGGGGTCAGCCTCTTCTCTCGTGTGACTAGTGATAGGACTAGAGGGAATGGCTTCAAGCTGCGCCAGGGAAGGTTCAGACTGGACGTTAGGAAATACTGCTTTTCTGAAAGGGTGGTCAGGCACTGGAATGGGCTGCCCAGGGAGGTGGTGGAGTCACCGACCCTGGAGGTGTTCAAGGAACGGTTGGTTTTTGTGTTGAGGGATATGGTTTAGTGAGATCTATTGGTGATAGGTGGATGGTTGGACTGGATGATCTTGTGGGTCTTTTCCAACCTTAGTGATTCTATGATTCTATGATTCTGTGATTCTATGAGAGGAGTAAACAGGGAAGTACTGAGCAGGAAACCTGATTTTATGGACTAAGTGTGTGGACATGGTTAGATGCTTGCAAGAGAGGTCGTTCAAATACATTATGTGTTAGAATCAGATGGTGGAAATATTAAATATGTGATGTCTTTTTTCATTTTGGTAAGGACACGAGTGACCAGCATTCACTTACTTAAGCATGGTCTCCTCCCAGATTCCTGCTGCTGGCATCCTGCTGCTGCTTTCAGCAGTGCTGCTTGCAGGTGAGGTGCTGATGACAAAAAAATTGGAAAACAGTTTGAATGGGGTATAAGTGAACTCAAAGTCTGTCATTTAGAATTAACTAATTCACCCCCGTATCTGTAAATTAAGGGACAAGTGGAGAGCAACTATGTAGCAGGGAACTCCATTTACCCAAGGGCTTTCTTTGCTTTCTTACGCCTGGCCCTCTCTCACTGCCTCATATAATTCCCAATAGTAGAATGATGTTAAGTATAAAGGTTATTATTAGTTACAGACCTAGTAGAACTGGCAGAAGCCACTTCCCCTCTCCATGAGTGGCTTAGTGTGCATCTACTCAGTCCTTGCCCAGGGAAACTTTTCTCTTGTGAGACAAAGACAAGGAAGAGTTGAACCATTGGAAATCACAGGTGATGGACAGCATTTGTTCATCATGTACTGGTTTAAAGTAGAGGTCTCTTCCCCTTAAATGTCTGTCATTAACTGAAAGCAAAGATCTTTTCTGTTTCAGTTTACATGATTTCCTATCTAATTGTATGATGATTTCACTACCAGAAATGTTACGCTGAGGACACTATGAAGGCATAGCACTGGGCACACATATATTAAAGGACTTCTATTTCACTTTCTTCTATAACCTTTGTTATAGAAGAAACAAAGTGTTTGAAACTTCTAATTCATAAATCATATTTTAACTCCAAGTTTTAAAATAGAAAACCGTAGAAACAATCTTAAAGATATTTTCACAAGTGCTTTTCACATTTTTTTTATTACAATATATGACTTTGTTCTGTAAATGCAGATACATATTGTCTTAAATTGTGCTATAGGGCATACAAAGAATCCTTGGGATTTGTGTAACATTAGATGATTGTGATGCATTAATTATTTAATGCAGCAAAGTTTAATTTAAAAAGCATCCACATATGTAGTCCAGCCATATTCTAGACTCCAGATGTCAGTTTACAGCTGGGCCTGTAACAGGAGGCAGCCTCCACCATTATTGCAGTAACTGGGAAGAGAAAGAACTGCTGCTGCAGTGCATGTTTAAGCTGCATGCTATGGATTTCAACTGAAGATGCCTTCTGCCTGCACCCCTTCTGTACCTCTGTAAGCTGTTCTGCACTTACCTGAGCTTTCAGCCTTGTACAGTAGAGGGAAAGCTTTTCAGCAGTGTGGGGAAATCACCTAGAAACAAGCTCCTTAGCCTGAACTATTGACTATATCTCAAAAAAGACTAATGGTATACATCACTTGATGAAGGAGAAGAAGGAAAATCTGTTACAGTTATGCTATAGCCAGGAGGCACCCAGGAGCACAGGCTCAAAGTCTGAAGATTTCCTCGTTTCCTCCCTTAGATAGGACCCAAACTTAAGCTTGCTGTGGCCAGTGTCACAGATGTCCTTATGTGCTTTGCGCCTTGGCACTTGCAAGGCAGGATGAATAATAAATCTCTCTGCTGAGCAAGTGATACATTAATATAATACAGTGATTGAGGTGAGTAAACAGACTATTCAGACCAGCTAATTGAAATAACTCTTGCATTTTGGCTCATAGAAACTCATGAAATTTGATAAACGACTCGTTTTTAAACACATAACACCTAAATAATGGCCATTAAGTGAGGATGGGTACATTTAGATTAAACACACTAGGTAAATCCCTAGAGATGTTGCAGCACAATTGCCTGTTAACAAAGCTGGAGACCACTCATTTTCCTGGTTAATAATTGCTTGACGGCAGTAAAAACTGATGAAACAATATTATGCATAACTGTTTGAAGAAAGGGAAGAAGGAGGCATTTCTGAGCACTCTGACAGCATGCAAATAATTATCCACACCGTTCTTCTAACCTTTTTGGGTGTATCATTCTCGTCTGGAGTGAAACAAGCCAAGAAGATGCAAGAACTCTGGCAAACGTAGCGTTCCTGCCATATGTCACCTTCTCCTTTTGGGGAGGGGGTGATGTCAGCTTGCTGCATCCTCTCTGGCTCTGGTCTGCGGCCACCTGGTCACAGCAGCACAGTGCACTGTCTGCTGCTGTAGGCACTGCTGCGGCCCAGCACCAGCACTGATGTTCTAGCCATGATGCAGTAGCTGATTCCCGGCCTCAGATCTTCTATTCTGATCACCTTGTCTTTTCCTTCATACACCAGCACTCTGTGTTGCTTCAGACAGAGGGAGGAGAAACAGCTGGTCATGCATGTGTATCTATGACTAAGTTGGGAAAGGTTGGAAAGTTCAGAGCAACACATGGGTTGGCATTAAGTCAACAACATTAACTAGCATTGGTTATTTATGTGTTAGTTTTGGTGTTGTTTTCTTTTCTTTCTTAAAAAAAAACACCCCAAATTGCCCTCATTTCCCAACTGTTTCAACTAGGCTTTAGATTCTGAAATACTACACCAACGGGAATGAAGAAAGTGGGGATGGATTACAACCCAGTTCAACCAAATTAAATTCCTGAAAAATAAGCTTACTTTGTGTTTAGATACTTACACAGCCATTTACACTCTTCCAATCCCAGAGGGCTGTAAAAGGGAAGAGTGTGCCCATATTCTCTTGGCTTTTCAATGGTAAAGAGTTTATATCTGAATATGTACTTACCTCATCTAGCAAGTTGTTAATTATGAAGACTTGGTACAGAAGATCATAATAATTTGTCATTGGTATCATGCTGCCTCTCTTCCTTCTATGAGCCGAACGTGGAGCCTGGATCTTTAGTATTACGGATTTGTTGCTGTGAACCACCTTTATTGTTGGAGGTCCTATCATAGCTAAGGGTATAAACAAAGCTGTGAGCATGATTGTAGCATGTTTATTAATAATGATCCACAGATCAGAATGCTTTGGATTCTTTGCCCTGATTCTTTTTCTTCATGTTTTTCTGCTATCTCGAGCTGCAGAAATGTTTGAACCATTTCAGATCAAGGACACAGCTTCAATCATTCTTCTCAGAACTCATGCAGCCTGCTTGGTTAAACACAGTTGGGGTTTCACATGGTGCCTGCATACCACTGAAGGTACAGAGGCACCATCTTCTTAGGAGGATGTGGTGCAGGTCAAGGTGAGCTGCTGCTGCTGCAAGATGCAGCTCTAGCTCAAAGCATGCAGTCTTGCCTACACAGGACAAGTTAGTTTGCACTTTAGGGCTATGGAGTGACTTGTGTTGGTGTCTACACTTCAGTTTTACATTGACCAGAGAGGGACAAAATTGATAATTTATGGGAGCTTACTGGTAGGTACACTGATGCTGCTTAGTGTGCTAACAGTCCTGCAGTTTCATTGTGCACTATGGTATTACAGTGGCTGTACTAACTAAAAGCTCTGTGCATGCGCTTTCTAAATATACCACTGCCAGGAAAATACATGTGTGAAAAACACATGCATGTGAGAAGGCTGTTGGCTATGCAGCTGCCTTCTCTCTTCTCTTCTCCCCTTTCCCTCTAGCAGAGAACATTTCCTTCTTCACACTGTGCTCAATCCTTCCAGCAGCCCCCGAAACTGCTGCAAGTATTTTGTGGAGTGCCATGCCTTGAGGGAGAGGTTGAGTGGAAGGGAGCCAGGCATTTCTCATCCCCGAATTGTAGCTAAGATGCTGCTCACCTGGAATTGGTTCAAGTGTGGGGAACGTTATTTTATCGCAAACACTTCAACTGAGAGCTGTGGACACACAGCTTCTTTAGGTACAGTTTTCTAGCTAGAAGGGGATCACTTTTGACAGCAGATTGGGAGCAAAAATGCTGTGCTCCACACTGCAGAAAATCCAGTCCCATGCTCAGAGAGCCCATGTGTTTGCACTTACTTTCTCGCCAGGGAGTGAATCTGCAGCTGAGGCTCCAGTCAGAGCGGACATCGGTCGAAGCAGCTTGCACCCTGCCGTAGTAGGCCTCATAGGTGTCAGAAGTCTCCTCTGTCAGGTCGCAGAAATGGCTCTGAATCCCCCAGCACTCTTCTTTGTTTTGCCACTTGCTCTGCCCATACCTTTGGGGAAAGGAGGAGCAATGTGAGCCCTAGCTACCACCAAACAGATCCGTGCAGACTTGTAAGAGTCTGTTCCCCAAAGGAACCAAAGACTTTCATGCTGTGAGGTGCTAAACCAGATGTGCTGGGGGCAGGACCAGGCTTCCTTTGTGGAGCAGGCCCCCCCTGAGGAACAGGTAACTGCACTGTACCCTGCAGCACAGCAGGCCACCAAATCTCTGACTGTGCTCCTGCAAGGCACCTGGCCTGCCAGACCTGCTTGGGGCACCCACAAACTTCATGTATGTGCCACACTGAGGTGCCATGAGGCTGTGTGTCACATTGCTAGACGTGCCTGACCTCCATGCCCTTCAGGCTGCTCAGCTGCACTTTACGGGCTTGTGATAAGTGCAGGGAGCTGGCAGCAGTGAAGGACATGGCTGTGCCCCAGGTATCCTTTGGCACCTGAGAGATCCCTTTGTCTTGCCAAGCAGGGATGGGCTGCTGGATGAGGCATGCTGGAGTTCCCCTGGCACTTACACTTTATACTGCACAAAGTAGAGCGTGGTTTCTCCCTCTCCAGCCCTTCCAGGCTGCCAGTGCAGGGTATTGTTGAAGTTCAGTGAGTAAAACCGTACCCCCTGTGGCTTGATTGCATCTCGCAGGTCTCGATTTTCCAGGACTAAAAAGGCTGCAAATAGTAAGGAACAGTGACAGCACGCATTTCTCTCAGGCAGGCATCTCTGCATCTAGGCACACACTGCTCGGGTGGTTTTAGGCTAGCAGCTGGTAGGGAAGTTAAATCTGAGTCTCATGTTCCAAACTTTCCGTGTTGCAGTGAGCAGATGTAGAAATTACAAACCACAGCCAAGATTGTGAAAGGAACAAATCATGTTTTTTTGTTTTTGTTTTCTTTCATAATTGAATTTACTGCCATTAAAGATGCCCAGTGGACACCCCACCAGACAAACCCTTCTGATCAGCTCCTAAAGCACGCAGTACACAGCTACACCAGTAGTTAAAGGTAGGTGCTCTGTCCTTCCAATCTCAGATTTAGCCTGCAGGGACTATATCTTAACTATGGTATATAGTATATGGTAACTATGTTTTAATAGTTACCACAGCTGTGTTTGTTGGTTCTTGCCTAATAAAATAGTATGACATTCACTGTTTTTCCCATCTGAACCGATGGAAAAAGCTGCCTGACAGCTTTCAAGATAAGCTGTTTCCATCTGAACTGACGGAAAAAGCTGCCTGACAGCTTTCAAGATAAGCTGTTTCCAAACTGAAACAGATACAGGTGACAGAATCAGTTAGCACTCACTGAAGCATCCAAATCCTAACAGGTTTCTGGATTTCGTGACCCAGCTGATTTCCTATGCCTGCAGTTTTATCTGTGGTATATCTCAGAACCAGAGACTCCTGCAAATTGAACTGAAGCCAGTAACAGAACTGTAAGTAATTGCGATGAACATCACACTCATTACAGCTGCATTTTGAAAGACAAAACGAGACTAATTTGGAAATGACAGAACTTTTGAAACCAGCCTCTGTATCCAGAGATTTCCTGACTTGCCCAGCTTTGCGAGCAGACCCAGCCCTCCTCCCCAAGTAGGAAGAGAATTGAAAGCCTTTACTTACTGCTTATCTTGTCCTGCAGCAGGTGCATCAGAAAGCAGAGGGAGGAAAGCCTGATCCCCCTCATGCTTAGGAGAGCAGCTCCATGACTGAGAGCATCTCTTTTCCTCTTGGGCATGTCTTATGAGGAAGTAATTATTAAAATGACTTCCCCATTTATAAAGTCCCTGTTGTGGCTCTGATTTAAATTAGTTGAGAAATAAATGAACTGTTCTAAATTAAACATAAGCAATTCTTCGTACTTGGAAGCTGCACTCACTCTGAAGTTTGGAACTAATTATGAAGCAAACCAATGAGAAAAATGTCCTTTTTTTTGGGACTAATTCCCAAATGTCTGGCAATATTGCTTTATCCCAAAAATATGTCACACAAGCTTGCATCTTCACTCTGTTAGGATATTGTTTTTCAGCTTGCCAGTCACTCAGTGCTGCAGAACACAAAATCTTGCTGCAGTAATACAAAACAGCGATGGGATGTCATCTTGGTGGCCTGTCTTGGAGTCGAACACAAGAGTGAAGGCTGTCGGAACATTCAGTGCAGGATGCCATTTAGAAACATGTCATCAGAGGGACATGGGGACATGAAACTGCTACACTTTTTGCTGTGGAGAGATGGTTGGAGGCTGGGGCTGGCTGAGCCCAGCCCACTGGTCAAAGTGCCACTGTGTATTGGACACACATTGGGTGTACTGCCACACTGTGTGCACCACAGCAACTCTGAAGGCTGTACACCAGTGTGCACATCCCACAGCCCCAAAATGGGATGCTGCACTTGTGATAAAGTGATCTCACTCTGTGGTGGTAGGTCCTTTATTGCTGTGTGTGCCAGCCTGCCGGGGGCCAGTTGTCGCCCAGTGGGTGGTATGGAGAGCGCAATCATGTCGAGTGCTGGCACACTGGGTATCCCAGCATGAACCAGGTGCCCTCTCCTCCTGCACACTCACATCAGTGGGCAAGAAGAGACAACCCAAACATGCTCAGTGTGGAGCAGCACACAGTAGTAATGCCCACCAATGAATAACCGAGGTGGAAACTGCCTGATTGCAGGAACAGGTCATTTCTGTCTGCAGAAACAACAGCTTGCCTAACTCCTCATCTTGGCTTTGGAAAAAAGGCAGAAGAAAACACTGCCAGGATGAAAAAAAGTAAGTTATTGTGCAAATTAAGGTGTTTTTTTGATCAAAAAGCATCAAATTGATTGCAGTAGGCAAACTAAACACAACCTAATCAAGAATCTGGTCTTGGTGAGTTCAACTGAGCACATGCACGTCATCATGCATGCGCTGAATTTGCAGCAGGCACATTAAAACTGTAGATGTGTAACTCTGAATAGCTAGTTACCACAACGTGGTGTTAGCTGAGAAGGAATGCAGAAAAGAAAAAAAAAAAAAAGAAAAAAAAAATCAAGGTAGAAGGTGGAGAGGCAATCTTGGCATTACTTTCTGGGAATTTTTTATCTATCCATTTACCAAACACCTTTTCAAAATTCAATGACTTTTAAGAAATTCCCCACAACACACACAATGAGTATTTCATCATGTTATATGAGCTCAAGTGCGGGAATAGGGAACTTTTATGAACTGATCACCAGGCTGAAATGCCATCAAATTTTAGTCACGCCTGTCACAGGTTGTGTATTTACTTACTTCAATTGTACCAATACGCCTTACCAGGATCCAAGTGTAGAGCTCTGCCAGAATCACTGCTGGTGGCAGCACCTCCCATGATGGCAAGACCTCCCAGAGCTGGGATTGGGTGGCTGCACGACTGGGGCCAGGCTGGTTGCCCCTTTGGTTCTCCCTTCCAAATACAAAAAGTCTGCTCCTTGCTATGGCTAAATGGTGAAAGAAACACCTGGGTCATGGAAAAGGTCAGGGCTTCCCGCACAGCATCAATAGTGCTTGTTCTATAATTGGGCCTGGCAATGTAATGCAATCTCTTCACATAATTTCATCATTATTGAAACACCCACTGATAATCCCCATGTTTTTATCATCTGTAACATTTTCTTTCTCATGAACTTCAATCATGTCTCCCCAGTGCACTTTGTGATAAAGACGATTACATTCTAGTGAGTGGCAGCTGCACACACCCATATAGACATATTCATCTTGAGTACAACACATCTATAGCACATTTAAATAAATAAAAACATATAAGAAACAGTATTGCTTAAAAATACTTTGAATGGTACTTACAATGAAATGAAAATGAAAACATTCCTTTCCCCAGCAGCTTCTACATTATTGCTTACTTAATTGCAGCATTTGCTTTGATCCAGATCTTTGTGACATAGCAGTTCTGTGGTTCTGTGAAGAGACAGAGCTGAGGGCACAAGAATTTTTTCCATTCCTGGAATAAAAACCTCTCCAAATACTGGGTAAACAGAGTTCTTCCTCTTGAAGACCGGCTATTGCCACACAGAGGTGAAAGCTGAGTACCTTCTTGCTGGAAGCTGCCTGACTCATCCCATCTGATAACTCCACCTTATTGCTTTATTTTCTGCTAGAGCAAGATATTCCTGACCATAAGAGGAGAAAATGTGACCCCAGAAGGGCTCCTCCCACAGCCACCTCTACGACTGGATACAGGTCTACACATAGGTTTCATGGGCTCAGACCCATGCAACAACCTCTCTTGGCTGGTGGCTCCAGAGCTCAGCTGATAACAGGGTCACCTCACACATAACCACTCCCACTGAGAGCTCTTCCCTCATATATCTAATCGGGATTTCCCTGCTGCAACCCATGACGGTGGCTTTTTGTGTTCAGGTTGCATGCCTCTAAGGAGAACCCACCTGTATTTTCTGTAAGTGCCCCATTCATCCAGCTGGCAACAGTGCTGAGATCCCCTCCTGATCCACCTCCCTGCCTCTTCTGGCACATCACGTGCAGCAGCCCTTCACTGCCTTAACGGTGACTTTGAATATGAATCATAAAAAACAAACAACAACAAAAAATCCAAACAGAAAAAACCCACACCAACCACCCACAGCCAAGCAACAGGGACTTTTATTTCTCAGCCCTTCAGGGAAGAGGCGTTACATCACAAGAGTTATTACAGAAAAGTTTCTAAGGAAGTGAGACTGACTTTCTCTATATACTGTGGGTATTCATTGCTTCCTGCCCACAGGTATGAACTGTTCACCTCTCGCTGTCTGTGGGCTTGCCTCAATGTTTGGGAGATTACAGTAAAAAATGCCAAGTGTCATATCTGCACCTTCATAGTAAGAAATGTGAACATGATGAAGGCTCCCTCTGTAGCAAGTCCTTATTTGCACTTAAAATATTTATTTAACAATGTGTGAGACACTGCCTAGCACTAGAACATTAATAACCAACACCAAAGTTCACTCTCTGTAGAGAATGTAAATACAAAAGTGGTGCAAAGGCTGTTCTTCCATTGACGAGTTTCTTTAACGAGGCTGATTGTTTCTCTCGTTTGCTAAGCCTCATGTTTTTTTTCCTACTGCTAAAGCACTACAGCTAGTTTTAGCACATGGATAAAAGACCTGGGTTCTGTCAACTTGTGGGTCCCCCCCCCAAAGCACCCGCAAGCTAAAGCCTACCAGCAGAGACAGGTGGAGTTACTATTACGTAGGGCTTTTTGTTTGCTTTAGTTGAAGCAATGTTGGAAGTGTAGGAAGCATGCCAGGTGATTGCTTGGCCAGCTGAAACACAGATTAGGTGGGAGAGGCATAGTACAAACGTTGGGCAGACCGCCTTTGTTCATCTACCAGAGCAAAGAGAAGTGAGTTGAAGGCCGGCAATGCCAGTGCCTGCTCTCTGCTGCACTGCCAGCAGCAGCTGAAGCAATGCCTGAACTGTCAGCTGCATGGGCAGAAATTACAGAATGATAAAGGCTGGAAAAGACTTTGAAGATCACCAAGTTCAACCACCAGCCCACCCCCACCATGCCCTCTGACCACGTCCTTCAGTGCCACATCTACACTGTTCTCAAACACCTCTAGGGACAGTGACTCTATTACCTCCGTGGGCAACCTGTACCAATGTCTCACTGCTCTTTCAGATAAGAAAGTTTTCTTAATATCCAACCCGAACCTTTCCTGGCATAACTTGAGGCCATTCCCTGTCATACTATCTCTGCTACCTGGGAGAAGAGGCCAACCCCCACCTCACCATAACCTCCCTTCCAGCTGTTGTGGGGAGCGATAAGGTCTCCCCTGCTCTTGATAGCTCCTGATAGCTGCACAGGATACAAGCCAGGATGCCGTTGGCCTTCTTAGCCACCTGGGCACACAGCTGGCTCGTGTTCAACAAGCTACTGACTAGCATCCCCTGATCTTTTTCCACTATGCAGCTTTCCGGACATTTTGCCCCAAGCCTGTGGCATTGCACAGGATTATTTTGACCAAAGCACAGGACCCAGCAAGAACCTATGCTACAACTGTTTTGCAGGCTGATTTTGGAACCCTTTGTGCCTTTCAGGCCAGTGGCTCCTTCATTACATTGTGCTACTAACTGCTGACAATCACAGAGTGACTTTATTCTGAAATTCAGATGTGCTTAGTTCTGTGAGGTTTCTATGCAGGAAGGAAGCTAGGTCATGGTGTGTGTTCACAGACTTTTTCCCTCCTCCCACCCTGCATTCTGCACAATTCGTACATAGAAAAAATTAAAAAAAGTCGATCCCCTCTCACTCATCTGTTCTGCAAGTTAAGGCCCACAAGCATCACACCTCCCAGCCTGCAGGTTGGCTCGGTGCTCATCCTTCAGCTTCTCAATAAAGGCTTCCTATCCTCTGGAGAGCACACGCTAGAACTGAACTCTTTTAATGACCTTCAGTATCGCTACTCCCAAAACAGCCAGGCTGGTGAGCACGTGAGTTTCTCAAGACTTTTTCTTTAAAAACAAAAGCACAGCAACAGTGCCTCGTGTGGATACAAGTCTCCATGCACTCATGAATCTGTGGAATGAGCTTTTGGGATAGAATCTTTCACACTCAGCAGAACTGGCTTCTGTGCTGCTCAGGGGTGTCTGAGCTCACTGCACCGTGACCATTTAACCAGAAAGAAGAATCACAGGGTAACCTATCTGCCAAAGACATCTTTGTTCCCAATTTTTTTTATCTTACAAGAAATGAAATTTGGCTGTGCGGACCCTTGCATACCAATTTGCCTTCATCTAACCAGGGGTATTCATTAATCTGGTCACCTTTCCCCAGTCCTTGTGGGCAGGACTTGACATTGGCGAATCTCAAATAAAACTGCCAATTGTGATGCTCCTCCTGGAAGTAGGATAGAGGCATTCTCAATGATCAGCCACTTGAATCATGCGTGCTTTATTCCAATTGTATTCAAAAAGACTTTTAGGAAAAAAAAACCAACAACCAAAAACTAGCTTCTATCTTGTCCCTGGAAGAAGGCCAGGCTTCTCCAGTCATCCTGAGATGGTGAACAGAGAAGAACTGTAACCTCACTAGTGGGCAGTGGAGAGGCATGGGGAATAAAGACGGGCAGCTGGGAAGAGCCCGAGTGGGAGAAGGGCCTCATCTGCACCTCTGGTCTCTCCCCTGCATTCACCTACTGCCACATCCAGAAGGATGATAGAGTGAAAAGAATTGCGCTCCATTTTAAATCTAAAGGGACTATATATACATTCCGTGGAAGGGTATTTTTGAAAGGGCATAACCTTTCTGAGTGTGTGCTACTCCAGAGACGTCAGCACAGGAAAGAGCTGGGTCACACCTGGCACTGCCACTGACTGCTTCGCTGCACGCACACTGCAAGTATCTGACAGCTATAGGATTAGTTCTGCAGAACACAGCAAGCTGGCTGGAGGATGCTTTTGGCTTGTTCACTCATTGCTTGCTCTGTTTGCAATGCATTTTCTCTTTTAAGATACACCCGAACAGTAGGAAATCAAGTTTCTTCAGCACAAAACAAATGAGAAATTAGTTTCTGGCCCGATCACAAATGGGCACATTAAAAAACGCGCATTTTGTACAGTCATTTCTGAGAACCTGAAATCCTAAGGCTTGACTCTCCTAGCTGAAAGCAGCATGAAGAAAGCATTATTCATAATGTTAAGAAATTACTCGAAAGGAGGAATTTGGATGGAGGGAATAGAAAATACCTCAAAATGGCACATTCTAGACTTGCCCATTAGATGAAATCAAAACTAACTATTTTAAATCCCATTGGGTAAATTAGCATGACAGTAACATCTGATTTCCAAGATACACATCAGAGTGCACTTGTTCACAATTAAAAAGTAAACAATACATATCTAAGAGTCTTCTGTTTTTTTAAGCTTCAAACAAAGATGCTAGTAGGAGTTTCAGGGAAACCTGGCTTTTCTCACTCTGCAGCAATGAACCCATTCGAGCAGTGCAACCATTTGACCCTCAGACAACGTTTTTAAATAGCATGTGAGGACGGTCCCCAGGCTCCACCATCAGAACTGAAGTTTCTGCTGCATCAGCAGTGTGAACAGAGCTACTGGGCAAAACATGAAAATGCAAAGCTGATGATGTAGCCAGAACAAGTGGATCACAAACAGCCTCTGCTGTGCGCCAGGCCCCCACCCCTCCAAAATAGGAGAACGGCACTGTATGACCTCACAGGAGAGAAACTTTTCCAATAAGGTGCAGTCGTATCCTCCATGTCGATCAGAGGATCACCGTTGACTGTAGTAGGTGGTATTTCACTCAAACTCTTGAGAACAAACAAGCAGTAGCCCTGGTTTAAAATGAATTGTACATGCTAATACATCTGGCTAGTAGAATACAGTAAATAACTGCCTACAAACAATTACACAGCCCCCCAGTGCTGTTCATTCACTTTCAGAAATGCTCAAGCACATGCTACATACTGTGAGTTAACTGAGCACACTTCAAAAGCAGACTGAGTCTTCAGCACAGAAGCTGGCAGAAGGAAAAAGGAGAGCACACACACACACTTGTCTTTTGAGGTTTTTTAATTCCATATACAAACATTTTTAATAAAAAGTATTTACACTGGTAATAAAATTGAGACAGGCTCACTGCAGGTGGTTCCTGAAGATAGGAAGACTTGGGTTAGGCATTAAGGAAATGCTTTCTAAGGATGACAACTGGTTGAGCAGATTGCCTGGTGGCTTTGTGGTCTTTAGATAGATGCGGAGAAGGAACAATGCCCACCTGGGGAGACAAACTAACTGCAGACCTGTGGAGGTCCCACACGGTCTGATGCTTGCATCCATTTAGAGAACACAGAGTGTAAGAATAAATATGGACTTTCTATTTAAAGGACTGAATTTTTAAAAACCAGACTTAAAAATAAAAAAAATCTATGCAGGTCACTATAGGAAATCTGTATTTTGGGTTCAGTAACTCGGAAGATGAAAAGGTGCATTTAAGAAAAGACATGCTGAAACTACTAATACGAATTAAGTGCAATACCTCTATCCACTAGTACTGAACTGTTTACATGGCACCATTTCAGAGTAGTCAGTTATTTCAAGCCTTAGTTGAGAAAAATAGGTTTTTGCAATGACACCTTATTTCCCAGAATCCAAACTAGTGACGGGCTACATACAAACTTATCTAAGCAACCCGGGTGCTATATTTTGTTTTCACAGATGCCAACAGATTTGTAAATAACTATTTCTAAGCTACATTATTTATGTAGAAAAATCATAAATGCAGAACATTTTATGCTTCTGCGCCAGCACAGCGGACTGCTGCAATACTTAATTGCGGGGGAGTCGGTCCAGATGACCTCTGAGGGTCCCTTCCAACTCAAAGCACTCTATGACTCTAACCACAGAGTATAAAACCCTACAACATCTGTGCAAAAGGAAAGTGAAAGCAGCTCTTAGAGAAGTTGTTAGGCATTAGCCTCGAAGGCTGTGATGCACATGGTTTTACAAAGAACAGAATGTTCTGAAATCCTACACTCCATCAACTCCCAAATCACCTGTAGGAGACAGGAAGAGAAGGACGCTGAGCAGCCATAACAAGAGTAAAAATCACCTAAAACAGCTAAAAGTGGTAAAAACTTCCCTATGTGTCATACCGAATAGCTGATACTTTATGTCAGTAAGCAGCATGTGTGTTAAGTGCTTTTAACCCTGCAAGTGTTAGGCTTCTTAATATCCATTGTCAAGGTGCTATAAACAAATATTTGGGAGCTTAAGCAAAGCTTTTGTCTGCACCAAAAGCATATGAGCTTATTCATTTAAATACATTCAATGGATAAATGAAAACGTATAGCTAAATACCACCTATACTATCTTCAAACCGACATGGCTCAATTTTTTGGTACTGTAGAGCTGCCAAAGGAATGCTGTGGCTGGTGAGGCATTTCCGCGTTCCTTGCTCCAAAAAGATTTCACACTGCAGTTGTTGGGAGTCATATCATATCCTAGCAGAAATACCATCATGCACTTGCTCTGTTCTTAGTCTCGCTCTTAACATTCCTGCTGACAACTGCTGTAGAAAGGCCTGGGGAACACAAAGCCTACTGGCTCACACAACATCTTAAATGATCCAGAAAAAACAATGTATAATGCAGTAGTATGAAAGAGTGGTGGGGAAAAAAAAAAGAAAAAAGAGTGAGGTCACTTGGTCTGCCTGCTCTCAAACAGGTAAAAAAATACCACTTCTCTTCCAGCAAAAATTTAACAGAAAGAAATACTTTTCCAGAATAGCAAATACTTGGGGAGCTATTCTGTTCACACACAGCCATGATGCCTACTCTCAGGCAATAATTTTTCTAACAGTGGCAGGGTACCAACAACAAGTTAAGAATGTAAACCTCACATTTCCAAGAACTTACATACTTATGACAGAATAGTTTTGAGGCAGACACACTAAACAACAGCTAAGTTTTGATCTCCTTGGGGTACAGCAGCAGTTCAGGACAAAGCTGAGAGAAGGAAAATAAGGTGCAAAGTATGCTAAGCTGAAATATGCTGAGCATTAGCAAAGGAAAGAGTTACTCAACAAATTAATATCTGGTCACAACCTTCCTTCCCTAAAATAAGCTAATGCAATGATTTCTAAGACCCTACCTATCCCTTCTGAACCTTGAGGCAAACCTAAGTTAGATTTAGGCACTTAGCTAAAATCTATCAAGTCCTGAGGTATTCCTGGCATTTCCTATTTATAAACAAACAAACAAACCCTGAAAGAAATAACAGTGAAAGAATGGAAGCACCCTGAAGCTCTGCACAAAACATCTCCTTAGCAGAACAGAGTGCTAAAAGCACATGTCAGTGGTGAACCATGCCATTAACTTAGAAGTCAGCTTAGCTGAAGGTTCAACTGCAAGTTATTTCTAATTTTCAAAGCTTTTGTGTAACACCAAGAGTTGTTCTCTTCACATGTGCAGTAAAGATGTCCGTACATTAGTGGACTCTGAGCAGTACTTCACTCACAGTCTTTCTAGGAACTCAAACCAAACATGACAAAAAACAATTTACCATGGGGTCTCACTACAGTTGACTATAACAAAGGAACAAATCACAGCCAAGTAACACAGAAATCTTTCTAGCTGGGTTCTCCATTATACCAGAGTTATAGAATTCACCTGTTTGGTTTGGTTTTTCCTAAACTATTAATAGAACTGTTATCTTCCTGTGAATAGAGAATGGGAAAAATTGCTATTGTCTTTAAACCTTTGGGAATTGAGCACATACAATTGTGGTTAATGTCAGTCATCCGCAGGAAAGGAAGCAGTCCAGTAGTGCCATGTAAGCTTTACATTAGGAATACTCATGCCACCGAGAAATATAAGGACAAAAGTACATCTTCCTTTAAAACAGCCTGCTGTAACAAGCAAACATTTCTGATACACCTACAAAGACAATCTTTTAAAACAAAGACAGTTTTCTACATGCATTACCTTAAGCCTGTGCTTTACTACCTGTAAAAATATACCTTTTCTTCAAACTAACCTTTGGTAAGTATTATCATAAACATTTCCTATAATCAGATAATAAAAAAAAGCACCACCAAATGTGGACTCAAGGGCAAATAACAGGTTTGTAGGCATCAGACTCACAAAGTTTTTAAATAGAAAAAAAATAAAATTCACATCTTTTACTTTTCAAAATTATAATTTTGCATGACAACATCCAGAGCAGATGACAGCGATGTAAGAACGTCAAATTATCACACTACTTCTCAATTGTCTTGAGATGTATTTTTGAGTGTTTACAGTTTGGTGTAGTTCCTAGGGGGAAGTTCTTTACTATGAGAATGATGAGGTGCTGAAACAGGCTGCCCATAAAGGCTGTGGATGCCTCATGCCTGGAAGTGTTCAAGGCCAGATCAGAAGGGGTCCTGGGCAGCCTGGTCTAGTATTAAATGTGGAGGTTGGTGGACCTGCCTGCAGCAGGGTGGTTGGAGCTTCATGATCCTTGAGGTCCCTTCCAACCCTGGCCATTCTGTGATTCTATGATTTATGACTCCTGAGTTATGTCATGAAAATTACTACCTTTTTGTCATTTTTTAACTTGCTGCAAAAAATGTGATTGGCAGAAGTAATGCTGGTTTCTGTTAGAAAACTCCACATTCTTCTAAGATTTAGGAAAAATACACTCTGGAAGAAGACGTGCATTTTTACGCATCTTATGCAGTTGGAAAAAACTTCCCCTCTTCCCAAAGAATCTGTGTAACTGCCTGTGCCTGTTACATCCTTCTTTCTCCCCCCTACCCCCCCCTCACTCCAATAAGGACCACCTAGTACACTTATATGGGAGCTACCCAAAATGTGATATGTTTCCACAACACATGTAGGCAGCTGGATGCAGTCATACAGAAATTTTAAAGAACAGCTTTTCACATCACAAGACTTGTGCTTTCAAGTTAAAAAAAAATATATATATATATATATATATTTTATATTTATTCACTGAAATGTGCTAAGTAATGGCTCTGGTGCATACCTGCAGTTGCAGAAAAGAGCATAAACAACTGGTTCTTGGCCACAGAATCAAATTCTTAAGTGACACAGGAAAAAGTTACAGGTACATTCTTACTTAAAGGAAATACTAGCATTTCCTAGTACTCTTCAAGCACTTTAGAGAATGCAAATATAAGGAAGAAAATACTTCCAAAAAAAGTTGAATTTTTCTAGCACGTCTCTGTCATAACCAAGGACTCGTTAAGCATTTAGTTCATTAACTTTGAAGAGTACTTGAAACAAGGGAATAGAGTACTTGAAAGGGAATAGTTGACACAGCAGCTCTTTTTACACTCCCCAATAAAACCTTTGCTCTTCATGGAGTACTGTTCAAACAACACAGTTATTCTGTTCAAACAAGAAATAGTAAGCCACGTCCTACACACAAACTTTTCTATAAGAGACAGGCTATCATGAATTTTTCCCCAAAGTTTTTAATACAGTTTTCAGGCACTATTCTCAGTTCCATTTCAAGATTCCATTGCATTAAGTTGGATCCTGGCTATGCTGTTTCCATCAGTACAAGCACAACCTGTAGACATCCAAAACATAGCCTAGGCTCTTTGTTCTCTTCAGTAATGCTGCTGTTTACAAGCTCTGGTTAAACATTTCAGCTATACCAGTTATTCTGTTGACCTGTATGCAATCACAGGCTGTTCTTCACCAACGTCTATCAACATATCTAGCGGCACATGAGGCTTGTCATAGCCAGAAAACTTAGGACAGCTGCTTGGAATGACTGCTTGTCGAATTTCTGTAGCAGAAATCACTGGTCCTGAGGAGTTACTACATACATCTGTTTGGCTACTATCAGAAATGAAATGACTTTCTTTTTCTTTATGATTCTGTTCAACATCAGAAGGTACTTCTGTATCTTCCCGTACAGAGATCTCTTCCACTTTGTCTGATGCCTCCAGAGGAGGACCAGAAGATGTTCCTTCACTGAAATTCTCAGGAGTAACAGCTTCTTCTGACTCCATTTTCAGCAAGGCTTCATCGTCATTCATTGATGATGGGACACTCACAGATGGGACTGGCATGACGCTTACTGCACAAATGTCTTTTGCTTCTAATCTTGATTCAAAGCTGTTGTCTGCATTCAGGTTTCTTATCACACTGACCTTAAGTGAGGAAAAAAAATACATTACTTTTACTTCCACATATCTATTAATTCAGTGGCTTTAACTTCTGTTGAAGTTTAGAGCATTAAAAAAAAAGAAAAAAAAAGATACAAGTTTGGAACACAGACTGAATTACAACCAATTCCAGCAGAAATTAGCGAAAAGTGGCAAGGTCAGCAGCCTGTATCCATGACTCCAGCTGTTTCATTAATGCTTTTATACAACCTTTCCAAAATGCTTTCTACATTCAAGTATGTATGCAAAGACCAAATCCATTTCACGCGTGTAATTTTCACTCGTAATTTAAGTCATTTGAAGTTTACAGTGGGGAAGAAGAAACAGGGGAAGAAGAAAATGATATAATACTCCTCCTCTTGAATTTGCTGTGGACCTTTACACCCTGTCGCTAATTTGTAATGACCAATATTTGTGGCAAGTGTCTCATCTGGAAAGGAAAAGATCTTTGGAAAGAGATCTTTACAGTGATTTAAGAACCTTCACACATTCCCAATGGCTGCATTTATGCTGAAGACTTTTGGTTATTTTTCCTGTATCACTAAGCACTGGCTCAATACTGCAACAGACTTAAAGCTTTGCTTTGAAAAATCTATTGCAGTAACAAACATTACGTTCTTCAACAGCCAGGCTTGAGCTTGCTTTAAATCATTAAGACATGCCTTTGGGCTGTTTAGATTCTCCTGATTTAAGTTATTTTAAACAATATATATGAAGAACAAGGATAAACTTTAACTGTATAATGTTGCCCTCTAATGCTACAAGAAAGCATGGAGAGAAAGGGTTACTCAATTCAAGAATCCTTTTCCAAATTTCCTAATTAGTCAGGTACAGATATCTCAGGCTATAAGTTACTTCTTGTGAGTTAAATTCTGTATAAGATACAAACAGTTACTGTTTTTTGAGACGGTCTAGAGCATAATTTGACTGAAAAATACAGGTTGAAGAAAAATTGGGAAGTAAGGGATGTAGGCTAAGATTAGAAAAGGGTGAAAAACAGTGCTGCTTCAGTAAAGCTCCTAATAGGCAAAAAGAATCCCCCAATCTGTGTTTGTGTAAGAACTGTGAGCACCTTCACAACCAAATGATCAAATCTGACTGCTTTACAAGCATATTCCTTGATTGGAATATGTGAATTCCTATATTCACATGTGAATATGTGAAATCCTATTGGAATAAATTCCTATTGGCATGGTGTGCTGACTTCATTAGAACTGATATCATCCCTGCATCTCTCCCTTCAACCCCAAAACTTTCCCCTCAGTTGCCCTGATACCCATTTATGGTACTGTGTATGCTGGATCATGCTTGCCCAAGGTTGCCCAAGGAGGTTGTAGACGCCCCATCCCTGGAGGCACTGAAGGCCAGGCTGGATGTGGCTCTGGGTAGCCTGGTCTAGTGGGTGGTGACCCTGACCAAGGCAGGGGGGTTGAAACTAGATGATCATTGTGGTCCTTTTCAACCCAGGCCATTCTATGATTCTACGATTTTCACCCACTTCTAAAGCCTCAGTCCTAAACTACATTAAGAGGGTGCCTTGTATTCTACAAAGGTACTGCATCTCACAGTGCTGGCTGGGAATGCCTAGAGAAAGACCCCAAGAATAAAATCAGTGCTTCTGTACAACTACATCTAAGATTTGTGTCTGTGAAAAGGAAGCTGGTTTTCTGTCTGTGATACAAGACATTTCTGTTCCATAAAAGAAGGAAGCCATACAAAGGAAAAACCCTTGCGGGCTTCCTGGTAGCAAAGGTTACTTGAGAGTCACTTAGTCATGGATTTACAACACAATTTAGCAGTTCATGAATTCATTACTAGCTTCAAATAAAAGAACTTACTACAATAACTGTAATGATACTCAAAGCATCTCCAGGAACAAGTGCAATTAAGATCTAGGTTATTATCTAAAAACCAGTGTTTACCATAAATGAGTTAATATTTTTCCTTTGTGCATACTACCAGTAACAGACAGTGCTATCAGCAGTTTTACTAAGGGCTTGTCCACCTCCACATTTCCAGCAACTTTCAGGAGCAGGTTTTCTGGAAGAGCATTTAAGAGATCTATTCCAAATCGTATTAGAACACTGAAATCGACACAGCCCTTGCATAATTTCACAGCAAATTAATACTGGGTGAATCTGCAATTAGGAAACTATGCTGCTTCCTGTAAGTGTCCATAGGGAAAAAAATCCTTCACAAATGTTAATGAACTAACTTCTTTCTTTTGAGACAGTAATTATTTATGCCAAATATCATCAATAAGATTTTACAGGGACAAGCAATTATGGTTTCTTCAAATTGAAAATATATGTCATATAATCCTAACAACCAAAAAATCCAGTCACAAACTGACACTATTTCTAAGTGTTATGCAAAAACAGCGAGAGAACACAACCATGTCACCACTTCACACTCAGAAAAAGCGCCAGCAGCTTGCAGAAAAGTTGACTTAAGCACGATATAAAAATGTAAGTTGATGCTTTTTGATGAGGCTTTGCCTTGTGGAGTTAGTGTGTGTTCTCTTCCTACTAAAACATTTTCCACCATTTAAAGATAAGAGACACTGAATAAAACACAGCAAAGTTGAAGTAAACAAAGATAGCCATAGCTTATCGATAAATTAAGGACTGGCTCTTCTTAAAGTGGATAAACTGCTATCATAAATCTGACAACAGGAATCTGCTTCCACATGCAGGACAAGTTGGAATGAATGAAGATGATGACTGGGAGGAAACAGCATCTTGAAATACTCTTTGTGAGGTAACTGGATGAAAACAAATGGTTCTCTCTGCAGCTAGACAGCTGAAACATCAGATTCCTGTCATCCAGCAGTACATCAGCATCATGAATTGTTGTTAGGAATCTGTCCCATTTCACTAGCTCTGTATTTCTTGTGGGACCCTGTTATAAACAAGGACGTTCCAAACATTTAAAGTAACACTTCTCTAATGGTAGTGACCATTTTATGTCCATACTGAAAGACCTGAATGTGACTTACACTCTTGGGAGGTCCTGAACAGCATCACGACAATGTTATAAAAGCTCTTGTGATCTAAATGACAACAAATTTTCTCCCCTTATTTGCCTGTGAGATCTCAGCAGCTAAGACAGCCTTCTGATGTAGAATTTCAGCCTCCTGAAAGTCACTCAAATGAGCTGATTATATAGTATCTAACTGAAGCAGATCACTGGAAGGCAGCAGATTTACAGTGGGACATCTTGCCTACAGCCTTCCGACACATGGAAAGACTCTTGAGATGTTTCACTCTCAGACAAGATCAAGGAAAGCACAAAAGTTCAGTAACAGATGCCTGCAGGGATAACTCTTCCCTCCATTAAAACTTAGTCATATAAATTATTGCTTGCATTAGTTATTCATTAAATTAATAATCTAAGGTATTTAAAATATAATTTTAATTGTACAAAGATAAATCATAAGTTATTAATTACTCATTTTACATTCCCCATACTATTCATATCTCACGTATTAAAATAATTCATATGAGCGCTGCAAATCAGACTGTCTGCACAATTTGGTGGACTAGATGAGTGCTTAGGACAATGGGACCTAGTGTAGTTTGCTAGGACATCTTCATTTAGTCAGAGCAATGTCACCTGCTAACATTCTATTCCAAACAAAGCAGGCTCCAGGAAGGTATTAGCTACCCTGCATTATGCGTCACTTTAAGAGTCCTGAAGTTGAAGAATGTGAAATGTCTCTTCACTAGAGAAGTATTTATGAGACTTACTGCCAAGATACAGATTTGATATGATTATCATTTAAGAATTACTATTACCTCACATGACAGTTCTTGAAAATTGTTTCAACTGCTATTGGTTGTTCAGCTGTTATAACTAACAAGAAACCATAAGGACAGTAGAATGATACTTGCCAGACATTCACTCTTGCTTGGTATGAAAGCACTGAGGTTTCTACTGCCCTTCAAGCACTCTGCTGCAGAGAGCTTTTAAGGTAGAGCTGACCCTCTTCCCTGTAACTGCTCATTGTGAGAACTGATTTCCCTAGAACTTTTTCCTCTCTTTTTCTACAGTGTTATTACTTCTTTTTTTCCTTCTTACTCTGCACATCACTAAGAACATTGTAATACTCAGCAGTATTACAGTATTATTATGTAATGAAGGAATCTCATGCACATCCAGTGACAGGACAAAAGGCAATGGGCACAAAACTCAAACATATGAAATCCTAACTGAACATAAGAAAACAGTCTCCTACTGCAAAGTTATTAGAACTCTAGACTAGGTTGCCCAGACAGGTTGTGGAGTCTTCTTCCTTAGAGATGTTCAAAACCCCAGTGGGTGAAGTCTGGGGCAACCCACTTGAGCAAAAACAAGACAACCTCAAAAAGTATCTTCTAGCCTCAATAATTCTTATGTCTCTGCTACTCCAGTGGATACAAACCTGCCTATGTACACACAAACAGGTTTTGGGAACTAAGTTCTCAAAATAGATCAAGTAATGTTACATCAGTTAAACAGCGACCAGAGTCTAATCCTAAAGCCAAAACAGGACAACTGATTGTAGAGGCAATCAGGATCTTGAGTCTGGTATAAATTCTGAACTTCTATGTGATCATGGCATGAACAACCAAGATGACCATAAAGGTGTTGTTACAAAAAAAAAATTACCAGTTGGAGATGACAAATCTGACACAGATAACAAGGCTAAACTTACCAAAGATTTAGGCAGCTTTATGTTTTTCTTCCTTAGTTTCTTGCAGCCAAAACTTACTGTCAAAATCAGGCCCACAATCACTATAATTGAAGATACAATTATAGTAATTAGCGTACCTAGGAAGGTAGAACAAATTCCATTAAGAAGTTTGGAAAATAAATACTACACCATTTAGGAAAAACATATGAATTTATCAACTTATTGCTTTTTTTCCCCCACTCAAGAGAACTTGTAAAACAATACACAAAAATCAATAAAAATTACAATGAAAGATTTTCAATTAATCCAACAGTCACGCTTTTATAGAAGTAAAGGAATTAAATAACTGTTTCTTTTTCCTCCTTAGCAAGTCTGTATGGGAACAAACTTTTTTTTTTTTTAAAAAAAAACAAAACACATTTTCCACGTGATACCCTATTAACTGACATGAGAATTGCTGCACATAATCTTTGTGCAATAAAATTGAAATGTGAAATCTTCCACAATGCAGAATTGTTATCAAAAAATAATAGGAGTCCACTAGTCCAATTTTCCTTAGTCTTCCCCCTCAACCACACTGCCCTTCCTGTGCACAACAACAACAAAAAAAAGAATACATGACTGCTTTTAGAAATGTTCTCTTTTCCCTGAAGTTTAGAACCAAAATGGAGTAATTAAAACAAACAAACAAACAAACAAACTGTAATAGAGATACAAACTTGAGATACTAACTGCCTTCATTCCCTTTAATTAAGAAAAAAATAGATGATACTTCAATTTTATTACAAATTCAGAGTCACTTCAAGCTCCAGAATGTCCACACACATTTTCTTCAGTGATATGATTCAGCAAGATGCCATTTATTAGAAGATAGGCTCGGTGTTTCCAAAAGCCATATAACTCAATGAACAATTCATTTGTCATTTGTTAATTACAAAATGATCAGGTGCAAAGAAAACACATTTTAGGATACCAGTGAGGTTGGAAAAGTACCCAGGAAAATCAAAGTTACTTGAAAATAATACATAATCTTTAAAAGCCTTTAGAACTGGGACAGTGCATTTCAAAAAGAATGATCAAGATTTTCCTTTTTTCATACTCTCCCATAGAGATCCAAGTGATCCCATGGCTGCACCACAGCTTCAACAACTTGCTGTATCACATCTCTGATCAGACTCGATAGATCCTTTGTACAATTTAAGAGTCTGCTTACTCCAAGCCTGCTCGGGAAGAATCTCAATGCAACTTTCTTCCGACTGGTCACCAACTATCAGCTCATCATAGAAATGTCCGTTTGCCGAAACACAGTACGTAGAACCTTCAGAAGGAACTGGAATGTTCAGGCTACACTCACTCATCTCACAATCTGATGCAGTGAAATTTTTTCTGCTCTAAACGAAAGAAAAAAAAATCAAAAATCAAAAAAACGTCCTATTGTATCATTTGACTCAATACAAACATTACAGTATCTTCTAACACTTCTAAAACGTTACAATAACACTATTAGATGTAGCTCCTTCAGATACATACCTCGCAACAGTTGGAAACTTCAGATACCAATTTATGAGCCATCCTAAAACGTTTCCTTTGATGAGATCGTGAAGCTTTCATCAGCAATTTTCAGATGCATCCAAAACATGCTCTATCCATATTCCATACCTTCATTCATAGCTCATAGTTATAAAAAGTAACTCTAACCTATGTGCTATCATTTTCCAAAAGTTCACCCTCCATGACTTCTAAGTAATGTGGTATTGATACTTCGAAGGTTAACCTTCTGAAATGAAAGTTCTATCTAAACAAGTGAAAGGGGCACAAGTGAAAATACCTGCGTTTTGGCAGGTATGTAGAAATAATCGTGTGTGATGCAGTATCTCTGTGTACAGCTACTGCAATTATCTGACTACTGTCAGAAGACATGCAAATGGACAACTAACATTCAGACCTTTAAATCATCTCTTTCATTGTGACCCACATTTTAAAGCTTCAGCATTATTCTGTTCCATTCAACTATTTTCTTGGTATCTGTGGGCTGGGTGTGTCATGGACAGCAAAATCCTTGCTAAGCATTTAAAACACACAAACGTATGTTTAATTTGAATTTAATTTTTCACTTTGAAACTTACCTCACTTTCTCTATTTCTAAACATCACTGAGTATGAGAGCTCTGAATAAACTCTTTCAAGCCAAGGGTGAACCTCCACAGATGGAAATTCAGGATTGTAAATATCAACTATGATTTCAGCACCGTGCCTTGAGAGATTCAGCTTCGGTGGTCCAATTTTTCCTGCAACACATTTTACCTTTGCTATTAGGCCAAAATTTTTAACATAGTATTGAAAAAAAGAAATTCAACAAAACGAGCTAAGTACAGTTAAATTCCTAAAATTTGAGACTTGGGAAGATTGATACATTTATTTTGAATGCTATTAATAACATATAGTTGCAACACTGGGAAATAAGAGGCATTTCAGGATGTTAGTGAACCTGCTACTACAATGGAACTAACAAATTACCATTATGAAATCCAACTTGTTAAGTGGGGCTTTATTGTTCAAGAATCACCTACCAATTGAATACAACTTCTAGATGCCCAAAGGTCCACAGCATCTGGGGGCAATTTCTTACCCTATCCCAGTATCTGATCCACCAGGCAAGCACACAAGAAGCATGCAAGGAATGCACTGTTGTCATCACTTCACTCTGCCCTGAGAAGCTTTTTAAAAGATCTTCAAATACGCCAGTGATAGGGCAAACAAGTCCCTGCACAGGCAGTACTACAGAAGTTTCTACTGAACAATCATCATGCTTCACTCTGACCTGGACTCCTGACCTTATGAGACATGATAATACAGCACAAAAGAATACCTCTATGTATTAAAAAAAAAAAAAGGAAAAAAAAAAAGAATAGGAAAATGCTGGGAGAAAATTTCCAAGATTTAGTTTATGATGGAACTTACCATGCTTTTGCAAAACAAACTCATCTGTCTCAACGTACTCAGACTGTTGTGATCCAACAATAGCTTTAATACGAAACCAGTAAGACAGAAAAATTTCCTCTATTTCCTTTGATAGATCGCAAGAAGTAGCTGAGATGTTCACACAAGTTGAGACAGTTGTATAGTTGCCAAGGCTGTAAAAAGATCAAGAACAAGCTATTAGCTGTACGCTATAGGACAATACTGAACAATACACTGCCTGTGATAAAATAACAGTGTGGCTGGGTGGCACAGATTGGAGTCTCCTCTTTGGAGATCTTCAAAAGTTGCTTGGACATGGTGCTGGGCACCCTGCTCTGTGTGGCCCTGCTTGAGCAGAGCTTGGATCAGATAACTTTCACAAGTCCCTTTCAGTCTCAACTATGTTATAATTAGACAAATTTTGGCTTTATTTACACTTAGGAAACCTTCATCCTACAGGACTTCAGGACAAAAAATTAAAACTGTTTTCCATGGACTGATTGTTTTTGCGCTTCAAGAAAAAATGAGGTGCAGGAAATGGTGACAGAATATGAACTTACTGGTAAGGTTTGACTTCCACAACAAAATAAGGAGGTTCAGACATGGATGGGTACTGCCAGTGCAAGACAGTTCTGAAATTTTTGGATGTGACTAACATTCCTGTTGGTGAAGGCACTGGAAGAGACAAAACAACTGCACTTAGTAAAACATGAGAACTGTCAAATATATTACTTTATTATTTGGAAAAGGCAAGATGCTAAAAATGGCTGGAAAAATTAGACTTGAAAATTGGAGATTATTCCCCCCAAATGGACCCTGTTTGCCACCAGTACTATTGACACATTTGAGCCCTGCATGCTGATTTACTTTTCTTTTTCCTGCAGAGACAGTTTTCTTCCTGTTTGCAACCCAAAACCTCAGATAAGCCATGCCCTGAAAACTGAAAACAAGTCCACCAGAGAGCACGTATCAGGTTCATCATCTGTGACAATGACACAGCTTTGTCAATATTACACAGATAAACCAGGACAGACAATGTGTGTGTTCTGAAGTTAGAGGAGATTAGCCCAACTCCTGCAGATTTCTGTTGCTCTTCAGAACTGAATCATATAGATGGGGCTGCACAGGGATGTTACCAAAGCTGCAGAATCTAGGTTCTGCATTCCAGGGGGTCCTAATGTCTCCTAATACAGCCTTGCCAAAAGACAAGAGGTCTGCTGGGTAAAGCTTGGATTCAATGTGAACTTCTGACACGGACATTTTTACATCCTCAGCAGTATTATTATTTTTTTTAAGCGTGTGATAGTAAAAAGCTACTAACATTTGTAAGGAATTTGAACACTGAAGTTAGCATGTAGCTCCATGTTCAAGAGATCATTTGAAGTACATTCAATAACATTAGAGGTAAGGTAATAAGTGACAAAAATAAGAAATAGCACTGATATTTTCCTCATACAACAAACTTCTGTTCCGAGCACCAACAGCAGCAGGGGTACTGGGGAGCAGAAGCAGAGGGAGGAAAATTGCATGACCCTGTGACTATTCAAGGCTGCTATGCGGCATTCAGATGAGGAAAAATGAAGGTTACTCAACTATTTTAACTGTCACATCTTAGCTTCTCAATTTCTGATTCGCAATGTTTGATTCTGTTGATTTAGCTTTTGTGAGATGATGAAAAATAGCTGATATTTGACCTGCCCGTTCAGAATTTCTCACAGAACAAAGCGTTCTCATTTCACTTTGTGATTTACTGAGGGAAAGTAAATAATTTTCATGTCTTGAAAACAAGACCACAAAGACAGCACTTTACAGAAAGTAATACAGAGAGGCTGAGATATGCTATTAACCACGAAGATGTGATACACATAATAGACGTCACTCTGTGAATGGTGCTGTGGTTTAGTTCTTTTACGGCGTGTATGAAAGTGGTATTCAGTTATTGGAAAAAAGGAACACAATCATCAATTTCTCAACCACAAGAAAAAAAGGTGACAAATTGACAGAAGAAGTGTCAAGACACACAAATGTCATATTGTGTCCCAAAATGTAAATACTTGAGGTAGTAACTCTTGTGAAATCTTACTGCTGTGTACTATTGTAGGGATAGAACTGCTTTTAGCAGAAGAGTAGGAAATGAAATTCCAGGAGATATTTGAATCATCAGTAGAAGCTACATGGATTTAGCTGTTCAATTACACAACATTTTGCTTTTTCCTCCCTTATGCTTTTTCCTGCCCCCACAATTTCATTTTATTCTGCATGCAGATGACATCTAGGGTTAATGAACAGACTTGAGTATTTTCTTTAATTCAAATCACTAAGCATCTCCATGACTTAATTATTCAAATGTGATTCTTACATAAGAGTTATCATTCCAGCTAAATGTTTATATGGCGCTTATTGCTATATTCAGTCAGCAAAGCATTTATATCTACTGAAGTATTTTCCCAACACCCCCATAAGTGAAGTGAGCATTATTCCCACTTAGCAATCTAAGGCATGGGAACAAAATACTCGGGAAATCCGCAGAGTGACCAATGAGAACAATCTACTAAATCATCTCTCCACTCCTCCAGCTCCAATAAGGATTATTCAGCTTAGTTCTTTGCTCTTCCTCCATGTTAAAAGATGACTTTTAACATGCTCCAGCTCTGAGACTACTGGCAGAAACTGGCAGAAAATAAGCTTTCCTGCTGAAAAGACAACCTTCTTCGCAAACCACACCACTGTTTAAACCGCCCTCTCAGCCCCCAGAAAGATGGCCTGGATCACTTACAGGAACAAGAGTCACATAGACCATCAGCTCATCCCTTGCATCCTTACTATTAACGATTTTCTTTCTAGTGATGTTAGCCAAGTAGTATCTTCCATGAACTAGTACTCCATCTCTTATGTTCCACTCCATATCCTTAAAGACAGACCAAAAACACACCCTTCAGCATAGGCTGAACAGCTAAAATTCTTCATGCTACGTAAGAGAAAAAACCAGTAGAGAAGCAGGTTTATAGCACATCTTCTTTTAACTCATTCATCTTGCCATGTTTTACAGGCCAAGAATGACCTCCCTCTCTTTTCCTAGGGGATGACACCTTTGCTCCTTTTCCCTTATTCTCCACAGGCACTGTCCGTCTCATCTCTGATTGTCTAATAAATAGATAGTAACTTTAATGTTAATTGTTCTCAGCCTGTGTATATTTTTGAGGATTGCTGGTTCTACTCTAAAACCAAGGAAGGCCTGGAAGATCATCTCCTTTTCCTAATTGCACTAGTTATTTACATGGAAGACACGATCTCTGCCTGCAAACAGGTCCCGATCACTTGAGTCACCAAGGCCCATTTTTGTCAGTTCAGCCAGCAATAGCTTAAGCTGCAGCAGTGTAAGATGCTGAAGTGGAGGCTCAGTATCACAATAGATTAGACCACAGGACCTAGAAATGGGTTTGTAAAATGGATAAGCTAGTCTGCTTTTAACACCTTGACAAGGCAACTTTAGTTCTTTTCTTCAGGTTTATTATCTCCCCTGTTTTTGTTTGTTTTTTAAAGGATCTTAAGTGTCCAGCTCACAGTTCCTTCTTCCTCAAATTGTCTATTTGACTTCTAATGATGTCTCCTCCTTCCTGCCCCCCGATGTGTGCACAGGCTGGGACAGCTCAGCCACATTCCATTCCAGCACCAAATGCACTGCAGATTTCCAAAGCTTTACCATTTAATCATCACAAATACTGTTTCTGCATACTGCCAAATAAACACCACAATACTTTACTTGAACGCTATTTTATTTATGAAACAGTCATTTTTTTTAAACACATCATGAGCTGTTCTCTTCCACTGTCCAGCATGTGCAACTCGAGGAAAGTGGCAGCGGCTGCCACAACGTTATCCTTCAAATAGAAAACTTCTGATTTAGAATAAACAAATACAAACACACAACACTCAAGGCACAAAATCAAACAGTGAGAAACTAAGCATGGAAAAAGTGAGCAGAAAACTGACCAGTAAATCAAATCATGCTGCACCAAAGAAGACATTCAAATAGTTCTAGTTCACTCCCAGTTCAAAATGTGGTGATTTCTACCTGCAATAAGCCCTATCCACCTTGACCTCTAAGACAAAATAATATTTTAATAAACAGAACAAGGTTTGCCTTGTACTTAGTAGCAAGTGTTTCCTGGTTTGACTGATGTTTTTGAGACAGCACTGTACCATATATTGTGTGCAACTACTGGATTAGTTCTGTGAGCTATTTTGCTAGAGCACATAGCTAGGTACACATGCTTCTTTGGTAAGCTAGATTCATTTTACTTTGGAAGACATTTTAAAATATATATATTATTTCTAGCAGCCTGAAACCTAGCAATATATACACGCAGTAGAACAAAAGTCTTTCAGTGGCTTTTAACCTCCTCCTGTATGCATTTCCTTCCTGTCCGCTATGCAGGTTTGCCGAAGATATTGAAGTCTCCAAAGTTCTAATATTTTAATGAAGATAACTGCACACTTGAGATGATATTTGCTTTTATACACAGACACCACAGTACCCACCACATCTGCAGAGGTCTCTGCCACCAACATGGGAACAGTGCAGTTCATATATGTTTATATATGAACAAGTAAATATCTACGTTGCTCTCTGACTTATGCACGTTGGTTACGCTGCTTAAACTGACGCTGGTGAGAGTTTGCTGAGATCAGCTTTGTGGTTGCATTCCCACTTCTGTTCTTCTCTGTTAGATGCTCATCTTCCAAGTCACCCTGAGGTAACACTTATGCATGCTCTTAGCCTCTTGTTACTCCTACTTTACTTTCTGACACTTTTCTTTACTCTCAAAATCCAAAGATATCTAGTTTCTTTTAGTCAGGTTAAAAGAAAAAATAGATCTCATTGGCTTACCCTCTCCCTTTATTCCACAGACCTAAGGTTCCTTGAATGTTGTTTCATAATGCACGTACCTAATTCTATTTCTGTGCAAAATCATGGTTGCTAAAGTCTCTATTGCCTTTCTGTCAGCCCTGACAAAGTTAAAGATCCATCATTCTGGGTCACTGACTAGGAAAACATTGTGCCCCCTTATGTCAGCTCTCTGCTCCATCTGAGCTCGTACATCCACATTAACAGCACTCAGAAAGGGCAGCAGCTTTGGTTCCTCCACAAATATATTAAAAAAAATCGTTTCTCTTTAGCCCATCAACACTGCTGAAGGGGAAGAAAAGGCTAAAAAGCCCAGGTAAATCCACACGACCCTGAGAACACTTCTGCAAGACTACAGCAATCACAGAATCACCACAGCTTAGGCTGGTAAGGACCTCAAAGACCACCCAGTTCCAATCCCCCTGCTGTGGGCAGGGCTGCCAACCACTAAATCAGGTGCTAAATAAGGTTGCCCAGGGCTGCATCCAACCTGGCCCTGAGTGCCTCCAGGCATGGGGCATCCACAACTTCTGTAAGCTGTCTGTGCCAGCACCTCACTGCCCCTCTCTGTGAAAAACTTCCCCAGCATCTAATCCAAATCTCTCCCTCATGGAAGAAAAAACAGAAGGTTGCACAAAGGCAATTCCCTGAGGAATGGACTGGAAGCAGCCCAGAGGTGAGAGTCTGCACCCTGGCACTAGGCTCACTGTAGCAGGGAGCAGGGCAGGTTGGCAGCAGGCTGCAAGGTGCAGAGGATGTTGGTCCTGCAACCCGTCCAGCCACTCCTGGGGTGACAGCAGCCACGTAGCATGCACCGGGAGGTTTGCAGATGCTCACCTTCACCTGCATTCATTTACTCCTCTAAAGAAACTCGAGGCATACACCTTAACTGTAACACCACTCCTCTTCCTTGGTGGCATATTCTTAATCAAGTTATTTAAAGTCAGCTTGAATTAGAGCTTGCAACAGCACTTCAGTGCATAAGGTTCTATCAGAAGTTCTCAAAAGGATCTTAAATTCAAGAAGGATCAATTTACAGATGAAAAGAGTACCAAGACTGGGGGTAATATTTTCAGCTGTCCCACAGTGCTTTTAAAATTGTTTACGAGTGAAAGCTCATGGAGGTAATATGCTGTATGAACTAGTGTTAGACCTAGACCAACGTCCTGAAGAAAAACATAAAAAAAAAACAACCCAGGAAGTTGCACAAGATGAACGTCTTAAAAACTGCCTTGACAGTAAAATTGAAATACTGTTCTATATATTCAGCACTGTAGTGGAAATACTAAGTCACAGCTTGAACCAGTGATTGAGCACCTGGTGGGAAGGCAGGGCCAACCTAGAGGAGCTCAGGTGTATGCAATGCACCTGAGTGACTGGAAGGGGTGAAGCCAGGATCTACCCTTTCCCAGACATCATTTAAGGGCTGGCACTGGAGGTGAGAGCATCTCTTGCTGGAGATCCTTGCTTACCTGAGGCCTTCCACAGGTAAGCAGCTCTTTTCCTTCATTTCTGTTTATGCTGCATTTGGGCTTGTTCTCATTTGCTGTAGCCAAAGACTTTGCCACCCTGCTATTATCATCCCACTACAGCATTATGTGTATCTACTTTTTAATTATTTTTTTTTATACCTGAGAAGTCATTAAAGCAGATATCTAAATAGAGCACTATTAGAAAGTCTGTAGCTGAGAAGAACTGCTATGACTGCCAGTAATAAGAGCCAAAATAACAAACCAAAAAGACAACTACAAATGCTGGTCAGCCACAAATAGGAAGTACACACGCTGTCTGGAGAACTTGCTTCCAAGGTGCAAGACACACCTGACACTGCATCAAAGTCTACATCTACTGTTGCCACTGTAACCTTGATCAGAAGCCTCATTCTGGATACAGAAATACAAATAGTTCCCATGGCCAAGAACCTTACACCACCGATGAGTCACAGGCAGAGGCTGACATGAGCACCCAGCTGCAGGCACGTATCAGCTACTCAGATAACTGCTGCCTGCCTTTTCAAGGAAAAGTTACCTCCTGGAGCAAGAGATAACTAACAGAAAGGCACTTCCTCATTGCCTGAAGTCCATATATCATATGCTACCAGGACACCAAAAGCCCTACTGAATCTGCAGAAAATAATTACTCTATCTTAACAAAGGAAAATATCATAAACACGTTTCAGAGTTGCCATTCTTCTGTTCATATTTTTCCAATCTAATACAGCACATCTGTTTGCATCTGTGTAATAACAGTCTGTCAGTACAGATAGATCAGTGAAGAAACTGGCTGTAATACACAGTGATATCAAGATTCCCTTCATGTTTTTGTTAGCTAAAAAAAATTGATTTTTGGCTTAAATGTTAGAATCTCTGAACGGTTCAGTTACTGAGGCTACAGCTAACCTCAGTGCTAGTCATCAGGAAAACCCCTGCTTGTGTTGCCAAAACATAGCTCAGAAGTATGTGCTGTTCCTTTCAGGGTTTGCTGCACTCATGCAGAAAGAAAGTGCTCAGTTTTCTCTAGGAAATTCATATATATCACCTATCCCATAGCAGCTCCACTGTGGCAAATACTGTGCTGAGTAAGCCTGGATTTCGGCAAGATGGGTGCCCTGGAACATGTCAGCAGCCAGCCTGCAAGTCTTACAGCCCCAGCACCCAGCGGGTGAGCCCCAGCCATCTTCCCCAGTGCCAGGGCCGCCCACATCTAAGTGCAACGAAGCCCCAGCAGAGCTGCACCGCCACAGAATCCCAAGACCACAGGCGCATAAACAAAAGCTCTACGATCACCTGCTGGCAGTTACTTTAGGTACGTCTATCTCTTTTTGGGGTGGGACTTAGCACAGCACTGCTGCTTTCACCTCACGTGCAGGCACGCACAACACGAGGAGCACCGTAACCCAGACCGGACAGCGCGCAGCGGCAGCAGCCGGCCCGGCACAGCTCCGCGCGCGGCCCACTCCCGCCCCAAACCCTCCGTGCCGGGACAACGCCGGGATGGCCGGGCACAGCCTCCATTTTCTCGCTGGCGGCGCGATGTGGGCGTAGGGCACCGGCAGCGCAGTCCGCTCCGCTCCGCCGCCTCCCCCAATCCCCCGCCCCCGCTCTTCCTCAGCGGCACCCCCAACCCGACCCGTTACCTGCGGGCGGCCGCTCCTGGCGGGGGTCCGCGTTCTGGCCGGGAGCCACCAGGGCCGTCAGCACCATTAGGGCCAGCGGGGCCCCCATAGCGCCCGGCGGCGGCGCGACCGCGGCTGCAGCGAAGACCACAGCGAGCACAACCGAGCGCGGCGCTGACGCCCGGCTCCCGGACGGGAAGGGGCGGGCACTGAGGCGGAGGGGGTGGGGAGTATTCCGAGACGGAGTGAGGGTGTATCTTGTGGCTTTGGTTGGTTGTTGTGGTGGCTTTGTTTGTTTGTTTGTTTGTTTTTGTTAAGTGCTGATTCTGCTTTATATCCACCGGCCCTGACCGCTGATAAAACATCCTTCTGCTTTGGTCGTGTTGTGATTCTCTGTAACGCGATTTTGTTAAAAAAAATAAAACTAAGATTTAAAAAAAAAAACAAACCCACAACGCAAATGCCCTTTTCTACCCTCTCTTCCGCTTCTGTTTGTTGTATGTGACCGCTAACAGTGCTGCTGCTCCTTCTAGTGTGGGAGCTTTTTTCTCCTGGTCAGGGGCCAGCAGGGCTGAAAGTTACAGCCTGAGCTCAGAGGACAGAACCTTTTGCCCAGAGACATTCAGAAACAGCCCTCTGAGACCATCTGTGTAGAGGGATATTCATTTATACTGAGATTCTGGCCCTTCTTGCAAATAACGCGTTCATGTTCACTGCCAAAGATTACATAAAATGCTGCCAAGGCAGATGATTATGGCAGCCCTTCCCATCCTGTTCCCATGGTCCCACCCATCCCCGGTGATAGCAGTTCTGTGCCTCAAACACCCTGTCTGGCTCCCACAAATAAATCTTCCTCCAGATACGAAATGGAGGCAGAGCAAGGGATCCTCACACCCGTGCCTCTTCCCAGGCTTTCAAAGAGACAGAAAGGAGGAAACAGCTAATCGCTGGATTCATTGTGCTTCCTCTTTCTAAGGCTCTCTTTGGAAAAGAATTTCTTCAGCTGCTCCCTTGCCTTCATTCCTTGTCCCAAACTGTAGCCCCACAGAAAGTGGCAGAGGAATTGCTTTTCTTGCTGCCTGCTGCACTACTATCTATGTTTGCAGAACTGAGGATGCAGCATGACTTGTGAAGGGGCAGTGGATAAGGAGAAGGGCAGGCTTCACAAGCTGGCACTGGTTCTAGGAGAACACCTCATCGTAGGGGCTGAGAAACACTGGTGAAGTGGTGCTGGGGAGTGTAGGACCATCATGGGTTGGAGAACCCTCATCTTCTGCCAAGGAGGATGGATTGCCAAGCGGTGCTCACTCCTGTGCTCCCTGAGCTCTGTTGCAGGACTGACACAGCCATGAGCCCTGTTGCCCACAGCCACAAACCTACCTGCTGGAAGGAGTATCTGCTCATTGTCATGCAGATGCTGACTGCTTAGATGGTGATATGCATGCACAGTATTTCCCAACAGATTAAAATGCTATTTTGCACAAAAATAAGTGACAGCAAGTTCCAGACAGGGGCTGCTCTACTTCGGGGCAGTGGAATCCATTCCTGCCAGAACTTTACCATCTGGCTAAAATTTTTCCCGATCTTGAATGGTTATATCCTAGAACAGAAAAAAAATAATAATAAATAAATACAAAAATCAAAACAATTATCATGTATTGTAACTTCCCCTTTATATTGCCTTTTTGTCAGTAGCCCAAATGGCAGTCACATGCCTGTATGTGAGGAAGGTCTTGCAGCAACATATACTTTTCACATCATGGGACAAGCTTCCCCATCTTGTTTGTTTGTTTGTTTGTTAGCTGTCACACAATTCTGTTACAAAATTATTGTGCTCTCACATCCATGTGCAGCAACACTCCTTGGGGTTTTGCTGTCTTGCAGAAATAGAGGATGTTCACCTCACTTAGTTAGAAATGCTCACTGCACTGATTCTCTTTGCAGATACACACTTTCTCACAAAGTGGGCTACACGCTAGACTTTCAGGGTTTTGGCTTTGAAGTACTGCTCGAGGTCCTTTGGAAAACTAAGCTAGAGATGCTTCCAATCAATGTTCCAATCCAAACAATGTTCCAATGTTTGCAGCCTATGTGGGAATAGTCTTAGCAAAGGTGTTTTTCAAAGCTAGGGCTGCCTCTTCTTTAAAGATGGAGAAATCAACATCACAAGTGATTTACCTCCCACCAGAACTTTTTCCCAGTCATTGAAGCACTAGCTATGTTCAATTTCAAAGCATACAGAGAATCAAACCTTCCTCCCTCTGCAGAATGAACAAATGAACAAACCTTACCTTCTCTACGTCCTGTGAATCTGTCAGGAAATTCAGTGATCTTCTTAAGCAGAATTAACTAAAATACATACCTTAATCTTCCAGTGTCTTTGCTAACTTTCTAGCAGTTCCTCCAAATTTCTGCCAATTTTTTTTGTTTCTCCTCAACCACTCATTATTTGAAAATCACAGTTCCAAGAAGAACAGAACTAAAGAAAATAAACCTGAAGCAGTCTAAGTTGTGGAATGCTACTATCAAAGACTGGATTTTCTGCATCATGGAGCACAACATTTTACAATTACTCCAGAAAAGAGAGAAAATGCCCCACCACCTAGGAAATTATATCCTAGAATTTAAGTTATTTTAAATGCCCATGGTGCATATGCTATAATTGCCATGGCATTAAATCCTGAAGGAGGTAGATAACGTGCCATGAAAATCGTAGTTTCACCAAGTGATCTTGTTGGTGAAGCAGCAGCTGTCTTGGTTGGTCACCCCTCCAACAGAGCAGCAGTGATGAGCTTTGCTGGGAAGTCAACCACCAACCAAATAAAGGCAAAGCAACACTTGAGGCTGAGGAAGATACCTGCCTAAATAGGAAGGTAAATGAATGCATAATGCAAACCTTGTTGTATGACGGTGTGTCTTCTGATCGTATCCTCAGATGCAGGTCTAAATAAAAGACCAACACCTTTCTTGGCAAAAATAGCACTGCTACAGAAATGAAACCAATCTACTATTCTGATAAAAGATGAGAAGGGTGTATCTGAGCATGGGAAGGACAAGCATGATTAAGTTGTGTTGTGGAGCCTTTGTGAACTTCTGCATGTTTAAATCTGGCCTGTGCCTTGTAAGAATAAAGGTTAAACCAGAAAGATCAGGTCTTCCACCACGTACTGAAAGAGGGTACCACTAACCTAGATGCAGAAATGTCTTCTGATAAAGGGTCCCGACTCATGGGACCTGCAAGTACCACACCAGTCTCAGGAAAAAAAGCAATTGGATCTTTTGTTCTCTTTCAGTGATCTCATGTCTCCATCTGATGTGGGAAGTCCCATGCAAAATTGTTGCCAAACATTAGGTATGTTTTAGAGATACTATATATAGTGCCCTTAAAGACCCATAGTTATTTTACTGTGAAAATCAGTCTTACATAGACCATGCTGTTTGACAAACTGAAGAACAGAAATTGTCAGTTGTGATAGTTTTATTAATTTCTAAAAAGCCTTCTACAGCATAAATAAAGTATCACAATAGGATCACAATTCTGCACGGTACCTGAAGATTAAAAATTCATAGCAGAGCCATCGATGTTGTCAGGATCAGCATTAATCAATTTGATCAAAATTATGTATTGTTTCTTGGAAATCTATGTAGGGACTATTCAAAAACTGAACAGAATGATAAGAAGAGGTATGATGAACAGAATGGTAAGAGAGTGGGCACAAATACTTTCAGCAGCACATGTAGTACAGAAGAAGAGATGTTTTATGAAATTATATATAGGAACCCAACTGCAGTGTGACTTTAGACCTCATGATTGGGTGGATTCTAACTGGAAGTAGTATGTGTACATAATACTGATGGGGGATTTCTGATTATATTTGTTCTTTTACTTCAGCAGTGGTGACAGGAAGCAGGCTTCATTCTACTGCTCACAGAGAACGTTATGTGAATATGCATATTGTGAAGCAAGATCTATTTTCTGGAAAGGACAAAGAAATTGTAATTTAAATGAGTTCCAGAAAAAAAAGAATAAAAAAAAAAGTCAAAAAAAAAGTCAAAGTTAAATATAAAAGCCAATTACAAAGTCTGTGGGTATTTAAATGGGCTTTAATTGCTTTTATACAAACATTCAAAGGGAACTAAACATCCATTACAATAGGTTGATTGTTGACAGGAAAAGGAAGCTGAGATTTTCCGGATGCTCAGTTGTGCACAGCTGTATGCTGTTACCCTTTGGGGCCATTGAGATGGGCTCAGTTCAGGGTCCATAAGGAAAGTAAATATTCTTGAGACAGGATATAGTTGGGTTTGATTTTGGATGTGTGTTGCCAAGAGATGTCACTGAGAAATCTCAGATAGCAAAGACTATTTTTTCCCTTGATTTTTCTTTCATGATTTACATTATATATATATTATATCTTGTCAATTTTTTGCAATAATCATTTGTTACCGTGACCCTTTGATGAATAAAATCTGTTGTTTCTGTGTTGTGATTCTTTTGCTTTAAAGAGCTACAGCACATCTAACAAATTAGTGGTGATTCTTGCTTTCCTGTGAGTATTAAACTCCAGGGATAATACAGGTTCAGTGGTATTGCAAGTAAGTCCTGTAACCCAGGATATATGGGAATCCCAGACATGAAATAGATTTCATTCCAAACTCTGAGGAATAAACAGTCCCACACTCTGTACAAGGAAATAGAAGAGAGACTTCAGGATATTTTCGGCTCCTCTGTAGAAGGGTAGCCAATGGATCACATTCCTTACAGTAATGATAAAACTCTGAACTGATGTATTTTTATTCATTCAAAGTATTCTACATCATCATTGTTCGTTACAGAGCTGAAAGAAAGGCAAATGATTTTATATTCTAAGAAGTATTCTGAAGTGTGCAGGACCTCAAGAATACTAGAAAAGAAACTGACACATTGGTTGAAGACAGAAAATACTTGTACTTTATTCTATACAATTATTTGTTGTGTTAGGAAGCTGGGCTGTTACTGACCTGCATACAACTTAACAATACTGTTGAAAGTGGCAACAAGTATTTTTTAATCAAAGTTGTGCTAATTAATTGCATGTTGAATTTAGAAGAGAGAGGAAAATATTGATTCAATCGTTGGAGGGAGTAGAGAGAGGCCTTTTGTAGCACTGCACCAGAACAGTTACCTCTGTTCCAAGAGGACGAATACAGCCAGGAACAGGTGCTGCTGAAAGGAGCTATTTGGATGAGGAGCTGAAAGTGGATATTCTCTCTTCTAGGAGGGGGCTGAAAAGGCTGGGCTTGTTCTGTCAGGAAAAAGAAAAGGGAAGGGGAATTTCTCCCCTCTATTGATATGTTTAGGGTTTAAGCATGGAGACAGTCTCTATTTTTTAAACTAAAAGGCAAAGTTTATATAAAATTGGGAATTAGAAATTGTTTGTGC